CCACAAACTCAAGTTCAACAAACACCACAATCTTAAGTTCAAAAAATGCCAAAATTTCAAATTCAACAAATGACCTAAACTCACATTTAACAATTGCCAAAAACTCAAGTTCAACAAACTCAAGTTCAAAAATTGCAACAACCTCAAGTTCAAAAAACACACAAATTCAAGTTCAAAAACACCACAAACTCAAGTTAAAAAAAACACAAAAATTCAAGTTCAAAAACACCACAAACTCAAGTTAAATGAACACCACAAAGTCAAGTTCAACAAATGTCAAAGTTTTAAGTTCAACCAACACCCAAATCTAAAGATTAACAATTGCCAAAACCTCAAGTTAAAAAACAACACAAACTCAAGTTCAAACACGCGACAAACTCAAGTTTAACAATTGCCACCAAATAAAGTTCACTAAAAACCAAAGACTCAAATTCAAAACTCAAGTTCAAAAATTGCAACAAACTCAAGTTCAAACACAACACTCAAGTTCAAACACGACACAAACTCAAGTTCAAACACGACACAAACTCAAGTTCAACAAACACACGAACTCAAGTTCAACAATTGCCACCAACTAATGTTCAGAGAAAAATACAGACTCAATGTTAACAATTGCCACAAACTCAAGTTCAACAAACACCACAAGCTTAAGTTCAAAAAATGCCAAAATTTAAAATTCAACAAATAACCTATATTAACATTAAAGAATTGCCAAAAACTTTAGTTCAACAAACTCAGGTTCAAAAAACACACAAATTCAAGTTCAAAAACACCACAAACTCAAGTTCAAAAATGCCGAAACTTAATTTCAACCAACACCCAAATCTCAAGTTTAACAAATTGCCACAACCTCATGTTCAAAAACAACAGAAACTCAAATTCAAAAACACCAAAAACTCAAGTTAAAAAAACCCACACAAATTCAAGATCACAAAACAGCAAAATCTCAAGTTCAAACACGACACAAACTCAGGTTCAACAAACACACAAACTCAAGTTTAACCAATACCCAATTCTCACATTTAACAATTACCACAACCTCAAGTTCAAACACGACACAAACTCAAGTTCAAACACGACACAAACTCAAGTTTAAACACGACACAAACTCAAGTTCAAACAACACCCAAATATCAAGTTTAACATCTGCCAAAACCTCAAGTTCAAAAACACCACAAACTGAAGTTCCAAACGACAAAAACTTAAGTTCAACAAACGCCAAAAACTCAGGTTCAAAAACACCACAAACTCAAGTTCTAAATGACAAAAACTCAAGTTCAACAAACACACGAACTCAAGTTCAACCAATGCCCACTTCGCATGTTTAACAATTTCCACAACCTCAAGTTTAAAAAAAAACAAAAACTCAAGTTCAGACACACCACAAACTCAAGTTAGAAAAACACACAGACTCAAGTTAAAAAATAACCAGAAAATCTAGTTCAAACACTTCACAAACTCAAGTTCAAAAACACCACAAACTCAAGTTCAACCAACACCTAAGTCACAAGTTTAACAATTGCCACAAACTTCAGTTCAAAAAACACAAAAGCTCAAGATCAAAAACACCACAAACTCAAGTTCAAACACGATTCACAAACTCAAGTTCAACCAAATCCCAAATCTCAAGTTTAACAATTTCCACAACCTCAAGTTCAAAACCAACAGAAACTCAAGTTCAAACACGCCACAAACTCAAGTACAACAAACACCACAAACTCAAGTTCAACAATTGCCACCAAGTAAAGTTCAGAGAAAAATACAGACTCAAGGTTAACAATTGCCACATACTCAAGTTCATCAAACACCACAAGCTTAAGTTCAAAAAATGACAAAATTTCAAATTCAACAAATGACCTATATTCACATTAAACAATTGCCAAAAACTCAAGTTCAACGAACTCAAGTTAAAAAGTGCCACAAAATGAAGTTCAAAAACACCACAAACTCAAATTCAAAAAACACACAAACTCAAGTTCAAAAACACCACAAACTCAATTTCAAACACGATACAAACTCAAGTTCAACAAACACCACAAACTCAAGTTCAACAAATGTCACAGTTTCAAGTTCAACCAACACCCGATTCTCAGGTTTAACAATTTCCACAACCTCAAGTTCAAAAAACACCACAAACTCAAGTTCAAACACGCCACAAACTCAAGTTCAACAAACGCCACAAACTCAACTTCAAAAACACCACACAAACTGAAGTTCTAAAACGACACAAACTCAAGTTCAACAAACACAACAAGTCAAGTTCAAGCATCACCCGATTCTCAAGTTTAACAATTTCCACAACCTCAAGTTCAAAAAACACACAAACTCAAGTTCAAAAACACCAGAACCTCAAGTTCAAAAAACATAATAAACTCAAGTTCAAATATTCCACAAACTCAAGTTCAATGAACACCACAAACTCAAGTTCAACCAACACCCGATTCTCAAGTTTAACAATTGCCACAACCTCAAGTTGAAAAAAACACAAACTCAAGTTCAAACACTTCACAAACTCAAGTTCAACAAACGCCACAAACTCAAGTTCAACAATTGCCACCAACTAAAGTTCACTAAAAACCAAAGACTCAAGTTCAACAATTCCCAAAAAATCAAGCGAAACAAACTCAAGTTCATAAGTTGTCACAAACTTCAAACACGACACAAACTCAAGTTCAAAAACACCACAAACTCAAGTTCAAAAAGACACAAACTCAAGTTCAACAAACAAAACTAACTATTTAGAGTAATTTTGAGGTGTTTGAGAGGTTTTTTGTAGACTTACCCTAGTGGTCCTATGTTGTTGTTGATGTGAGGCGTTTCTTTTCCAGTAGTCTAAAATCTGTTGGAGGGGGGAAAAGGTTCCAGCTGTCCAGCCGCGGCGGCAGCGGTGTGTCTGAAGTCCGGGGTCCTCGGCGGGGGAAAGAAGATAGGCGCTCCGCGGCAAGGTTTGCTGGGACTCGGTGCCGTCGGCGGGTCGAAGCTCGGTGGTGGGCGGCTTGGAGTGATGGAGGTGCGGCGTCTTCTTTCAGGTGGCGGCGCAGCGTCTTCCTCGAGGCGGTGGTCGGTCTTCTTGGTCCAGTGGTCAGTGCTTTGTCTCAATTACAGCAACAGGAATTGCTCTTTAGTGCACAGCACTTAAATGTGCTTTTGACAGGAGAAGACATCCCCAGAGTTGGGCTCGAGTCATGGTTTGTGCTGTTCCTCTCAGACATGGTTGTGTTCTCTTCTCGATGTTTGTATTCCAGAATGGATGTCTCTTGGTTGTATTTTAAACTTTCAAGTTGTTTTAAGTTAATTTTAATGTAGTTTATTTATTTTAAATTTAGTTTTGCTACATTAAATTTGTATGCAATCGTAAGGGATTGTGGGTATTTTAGTTCTGAGGGATGAGAGCCTAAGGAATCAATCTTCCTGTTACAGCAAAGGATTGTGGGTAAAACCGTGAGTGAGTGAGGTACTTCCTTTCTGCCATGAGAGCCTTGGGAATCAATCTCCCTGTTGCAGCAAAGGATTGTGGGTAAAACCGTGAGTGAGGGAGGTACATTTTTCCTGGCATGAGAACCTCAGGAGTCAGTCCTTCCTAAGAAAAAAGAGGGGAGGGGGGAAGACAAACAAAAGCACAGGAACCCTAAAATGAAATAAAATAAAATAAAATGAAATAATATAAAACAATGAAAAAATAAAAAATAAAAGAAGAACAAAAGTGGATTGCAAAAGGGAAAGGAGAAGAAAAAAGGAAAAAAAGAAGTGTCAAGAGCAAATAGCAAAAAACGGAAGTGAGCTTAAAAACAGAGAACAGTTCCCTAAAAGACAGACAGAAATGTAAATTTGATCAATGTCCTAAGGGAAAATCTGCACGTGTATGTGTGTTCTTTTTTACTAGCTTAGTCTGGTGTCACTGATGGTCAGTTATCAATAAGTATTTATTATTTAAATTTTTGATGAAGTTGTTTGTAGTGGGGTTAGCTGGCTAATTTTAGAGTGTTAAAAAAGATGTTAGAGGGGGAGGATTTAGGTGGCACGGCGGTTCCCCTTCAGGTCTCTCTTAATCTTCAATATAGGTGACCCAACAGGGGTTACCCCCCCGGCCGGGGTAGGCCGAGGCTGAAGATCACCTATTTGTCCTCTGTGAAGGTGAAAATAAAGGGGCAGGGGAGGGAATAAGAAAGAGGGGGGGTGTTAGAGAGAGGGGGAGAGATGAGGGAGAGAGAGAGAGAGAGAGAGAGGGGGGGTGTGAGAGAGAGAGAGAGAGAGAGAGAGAGAAGGGAAGAGGGAGAGGGGGGTTTAAGGGAGAGGTGGAGATGGTGGAAAATAAAGATTGGTGAGGGGGATTTGGTGGCGGATGAAACATCCCATAGCTCCCCAGCTCTCACCATCCATGTGAGGAGAGTGAGCAAGGGACATAGTCACCCGACCCGACTAGGTCTAGGCTCTGCTCTCCTCACGGTCCTCACAAGATACAAAGAGATATGTAAACGTGGAAGTGAGAGTTCTCTAGGCAGAGTTTTGGGTTTGGTTTGAGCTGAGTTGGTCAGTTGATTATTGATTACTATTTTAAGTTCTAAAAGTGGATAGAGTCAAAAAGTCACAGAGGATTGTGGTGGGAGCAGGTGGTCCATCTGGCACCATTCTGCTCATGCAGGGATTCGAGTGATAGAAAGAGAATAGATCTTGCCACCGTGACTCGCCATTGAGACTCTCCTCACCTGCTGGTTTTCATCCTCTGATAGGAGAGAGAGGTACAGATCAGGAGAGAGGGAGAAAAGGAGGGAGGCAGGGTGGGGTCAGGAGTTAATTTGTCTTGAAAAGTATTTATCTTTTCGTCATTGCTGTTAGGGTTTAGATGTTTTTTGTTTAGTTTTCTGAGGAATGTAGTGTTAGTATAGGTTCCAAGGTGGAGGATTCTTTGGAATTCACTCTCACCCTTGAAACTGGAAGATCTTAGATTCTATAAAGGGGGGGGGGGGGGGGGGGGGGGGGGTTGTGTGCACAGAAGGAGCATGGGCTCAGACTATTCTCGGAATGATATTGTGACAAGTCTGTCCGAAGGTAAGTGGCTGGTTAGGTGTGGGAAAGAGATAGAGTGATAGCCCCCGCTTTCGTCAGTTGACTTGGCGGTTTGAGGTAGGCTGATCAAGGGCTTGCACTGGCCGGCGCATGTCGACCTGTCACATGTTCCAGTCGAGTCTCCGAGCTCAATCTGTGTGTAAAAATTATGTGTTGGTAGAAAGTTTAATGACTCAGCTCAGTTGGTATGCTATGCTGTCTATCTTTTAGACTATGTGTTTGTTGAGCAATTTTATGTATATATTATGTTACAGGGCTAGGAAAAGGTTAAAGGTTTTTGACGTTAGGGTTAAAATCACTGTCCAAAACCTTTGTAGGAACTCTTTTCCAACCTTTTGGAGGGAGCTAGACCAGAAAAAAAAGAAGAAAGAAAAAAAAAAATTGGGGTGTTCGGGCTTCCTGAAGGTAATACCCGGTATTAGGTTTTGGGGCTAGGGTAACTTTTAAGGTTTTTGGCGATATGGTTAAAATCACTGTCCAAAACCTTTGTAGGAAGTCTTTTCCAACCTTTTGGAGTTAGTTAGACAAAAAAAAAAAAGATAAATGAAAAAAAATATTTGGGGTGTTCGGGCTTCCTGAAGGTAATACCCGGGTATTAGGTTATGGGGCTAGGGTAAGGTTTAAGGCTTTTGGCGTATGGGTTAAAATCACTGTCCAAAACCTTTTTAGGAACATGTTTCAGACCTTTTGGAGTTAGTTACACCAAAAAAAAGATAAATGAAAAAAATATATTTGGGGTGTTCGGGCTTCCTGAAGGTAATACCCGGGTATTAGGTTAGGGGCTAGGGTAAGGTTTAAGGTTTTTGGCGTGAGGGTTAAAATCACTGTCCAAAACCTTTGTAGGAACTCTTTACCATCCTTTTGGAGTTAGTTAGACCAAAAAAAAAAACGAAAAATGAAAAAAAAATATTTGGGGTGTTCGGGCTTCCTGAAGGTAATACCCGGGTATTAGGTTATGGGGCTAGGGTAAGGTTTAAGGTTTTTGGCGTAAGGGTTAAAATCACTGTCCAAAACTTTTTAGGAACATGTTTCAGACCTTTTGGAGTTAGTTACACCAAAAAAAAAAAAAAGAAAAAAATATATATTTGGGGTGTTCGGGCTTCCTGAAGTTAATACCCGGGTATTAGGTAATGGGGCTAGGGTAAGGTTTAAGGTTTTTGGCGCGAGGGTTAAAATCACTGTCCAAAACCTTTGTAGGAAGTCTTTTCCAACCTTTTGGAGTTAGTTAGACAAAAAAAAAAGATAAATGAAAAAAAATATTTGGGGTGTTGGGCTTCCTGAAGGTAATACCCGGGTATTAGGTTATGGGGCTAGGGTAAGGTTTAAGGTTTTTGGCGTGAGGGTTAAAATCACTGTCCAAAACCTTTGTAGGAAGTCTTTTCCAACCTTTTGGAGTTAGTTAGACAAAAAAAAAGATAAATGAAAAAAAAATATTTGGGGTGTTCGGGCTTCCTGAAGGTAATACCCGAACATTAGGTTATGGGGCTAGGGTAAGGTTTAAGGTTTTTGGCGTAAGGGTTAAAATCACTGTCCAAAACCTTTTTAGGAACATGTTTCAGACCTTTTGGAGTTGGTTACACCAAAAAAAATGTAAAATGAAAAAAAAATATTTGGGGTGTTTGGGCTTCCTGAAGGTAATACCCGGGTATTAGGTTATGGGGCTAGGGTAAGGTTTAAGGTTTTTGGCGTGAGGGTTAAAATCACTGTCCAAAACCTTTGTAGGAAGTCTTTTCCAACCTTTTGGAGTTAGTTAGACCAATAAAAAAATGAAAAATGAAAAAAAAATATTTGGGGTGTTCGGGCTTCCTGAAGGTAATACCCGGGTATTAGGTTTTGGGGCTAGGATTAGGTTTAAGGTTTTTGGCGTTAGGGTTAAAATCACTGTCCAATATTTTTTAAGGAACATGTTTCAGACCTTTTGGAGTTAGTTAGACCAAAAAAAAAGAAAAAAGAAAAAAAAATATTTGGGGTTTTCGGGCTTCCTGAAGGTATTAGGTTTTGGGGCTAGGGTAAGGTTTAAGGTTTTTGGCGTTAGGGTTAAACTCACTGTCCAAAACCTTTTAAGGAACAAGATTCAGACCTTTTGGAGTTGGTTACACCAAAAAAAAATGTAAAATGAAAAAAAAAAATATTTGGGGTGTTCGGGCTTCCTGAAGGTAATACCCTTCAGGTTTAAGTATTAGGTTATGGGGCTAGGATTAGGTTTAATGTTTTTGGTGTTAGGGTTAAAATCACTGTCCAATATATTTAAGGAACATGTTTCAGACCTTTTGGAGCTAGTTTGACCAAAAAAAAAAAGAAAAAGAAAAAATATATATTTGGGGTGTTCGGGCTTCCTGAAGGTAATACCGGGGTATTAGGTTATGGGGCTAGGGTAAGGTTTAAAGTTTTTGGCGTGAGGGTTAAAATCACTGTCCAAAACCTTTGTAGGAAGTCTTTTCCAACCTTTTGGAGTTAGTTAGACAAAAAAAAAAAGATAAATGAAAAAAAAATATTTGGGGTGTTCGGGCTTCCTGAAGGTAATACCCGGGTATTAGGTTATGGGGCTAGGGTAAGATTTAAGGTTTTTGGCGTTAGAGTTAAAATCAGTGTCCAAAACCTTTTTAGGAACATGTTTAAGACCTTTTGGAGTTGGTTACACCAAAAAAAATGTAAAATGAAAAAAAAAATATTTGGGGTGTTCGGGCTTCCTGAAGGTAATACCCGGGTATTCGGTTTTGGGGCTAGGGTAAGGTTTAAGGTTTTTGGTGTTAGGGTTAAAATCACTGTCCAAAACCTTTGTAGGAACTCTTTTCCAACCTTTTGGAGTTAGTTAGACCAAAAAAAAAGAAAAAAGAAAAAAATATATTTGGGGTCTTCGGGCTTCCTGAAGGAAATACCCAGGTATTAGGTTATGGGGCTAGGGTAAGGTTTTAGGTTTTTGGCGTTAGGGTTAAAATCAATGTCCAAAACCTTTTTAGGAACATGTTTCAGACCTTTTGGAGTTGGTTACACCAAAAAAAAATGTAAAATGAAAAAAAAATATTTGGGGTGTTCAAGCTTCCTGAAGGTAATACCCGGGAATTAGGTTATGGGGCTATAGTAAGGTTTAAGGTTTTTGGCGTTAGGGTTAAAATCACTGTCCAAAACCTTTGTAGGAACTATTTTCCAACCTTTTGGAGTTAGTTAGACCAAATGTTTCGGGCCGCCGCCTTAGTGTGGCGAGTCTTGGGTCTTCCTCACTGTGTGTGTGTGTGTGTGTGTGTGTGTGTGTGTGCGTGTGTGAGAGTGCCTGTGTGTGCATGCTGCCTGCAGTTCACAGGTTGCCGTGGCTGCGGATCAATCAAGTGCCTGATCACCTCCACCTGGAAACTGCAAACACTGACTGGCTGAGGGCTTCTGCCACTTGAGAGGAGCCACTTGGGGGGAGTGGATAAAACTCCAGTAGACCTGCAGATCAGGGAGCACGCTGTACCCAGTGGAGCTCCCATGCCTCTTCCTCAGACAGATTGTCTTTGTGATTGTGAATTGGGATTTTTTCGTAGCTTGTGAGGCATTTTGGTTTGCACACGCCTACCTGCTTTCCTTTTTGTATCCAGCATTAGGGCTGAGTATTGTATTTGAGTTCGTTTCTTGCTGATGTGAGCAGATCTTTTTATTTTACTGGTAACTAACTCTAGGTTAGAGTCTCCCTGTGTTTTTTGGCAACCTGTTAAGTTTCCTTTAAGGCCTTTGTTGCCTCTCTTTTTGTTGTTACTGCCAATTTTACTTTTGTTAATAAATAACTTGATTTGATCATTTAACATCTGGTCGGTTTTATGTTGCTTCCCTTCTCCCTTACACGAGCTGGTCGTAACATAAATGGGGGCTCGTCCGGGATACTAATCCGTTAAAGGAGACCCGGAAATCCGAAAAGTTTTTGTTAATAAAGGTAAGATTATTGTGTGTGTGTGCTTAGGTAGGTAAAATGGCATCGTTCGATCTTGACAGCTTCTTGTTAAATCCGTCACTTGACCAAATTAATAAGTGCAGAAAGGATAATTTGGTCGAGATAGCTGTGCACTTCAATGTCCTGTTTGCCAAATCAATCCTGAAAAAAGAATTAAAATCTCTAGTCATAGGTAAGTTGGTGGAATTAGGTATAATTGTTTTGCCGGTGCTCCCTGAGTCACCTGTGTGCGCACCTGGCTCTGAGACTGCGGCTGATTACACTGCACAAAGGGAGTTCAGTAAAGTGTCTGCTCAGCCCAAAACTCCCTTTACCTTGCCTCGCTATGATCCTCCTTTCTCAGGCAGCACTGATTCTCTGGGTGAGGCCAGACTGAAAGTCAGGCTGGCACGAATCCAGATGGAGGCTCAGGAGAGAGCCGAGAACCGGCAAGCAAAGCTGAGGCTTGAGATCCGGAAAATGGAGATCGAGGCTGATAAAGCAGTCAGACTACGTCAGCTGGAGCTAGAAGCTCAGCTGAAAGCAACCCCGGCACTGGATGCATCTGCAGATGCAATAATGTCACCTCCTTCCACCAGCTCTACCCGAGAGTCCTTTGACATCGGTAAGCATATTTCTCTTGTTCCACCATTCAGAGACTCTGAAGTTGACAGTTATTTTCCGGCATTTGAGCGCATTGCGACTGCACTTCAGTGGCCTTATGAAGAGTGGCCACTACTTCTCCAATGTAAGATCCATGGTAAAGCACAAGAAGCTGTAGCTGCTCTACCTTTAGCGGAGAGCTTGAACTATGAAAAGGTAAAGATGTCTATTTCACGTGCCTATGAATTAGTCCCTGAAGCTTACAGGCAAAAATTTCGGAACCACACAAGGGGCCCTGAACAGACGTATGTGGAGTTCGCAAGGGAAAAGGGAACTCTTTTTGATAAATGGTGTAACGCTAGTAAAGCTGCTGATTTCAGTTCACTCCGTGAACTAATTCTTCTGGAAGAATTTAAGAAATGTCTACCAGAGCGCATTGTTGTGTACCTAAATGAACAGAAAGTTTCATCTCTCTCTGCAGCCTCTGTACTGGCTGATGAATTTGTGCTAACCCACAAACCTGTGTTTCTGTCTACTTACGAAAAGCCTCGTGCTCCGGCACCACAGAGTGGACAAGCCAGAGTGTTCCACAGAAGGGATGAAAAAAGCTGTAACTATTGTCATAAATCTGGACACCTCATTGCAAACTGTCCCTTCTTAAACAGGAAAAAACAGAATGGCAACGGATCGCCCCCTAAAGGCGTTGGGCTCATTAAATCTGAGAAACGTGTAGAATCTAATGCTGTTTCTTCTGTTTGCCCAGATCCATGTTTTGAGCCGTTCATATTCGACGGGTATGTATCTCTGACAGGTGAGACTGCTGATCAGTGCCCAGTACGCATTTTGAGGGACACCGGTGGCTCTCAATCTGTTATACTGGCTAGTGCATTGCCATTTTCGGAAAAGTCTTTTTGTGGTTATACTGTTGCCTTGCAAGGTATTGAGATGGGTTATGTCCCACAACCGGTGCATACAGTCCACATTAAGTCCTGGTTGATAAGTGGGGTTTTTCCTGTGGCTGTCATTCCCGCTCTGCCTATAAAAGGAGTAGTTCTCCTCATGTGCAACGACATCGCGGGTGGCCAGGTAACCCCTGCACTAGAGGTGTCTGACTCTCCGCAGAGCCCTGATATAGAAAATGAAACAGAAACTGCTCAGAAACTGTTTCCATCTTGTGCTGTAACTCGTGCGCAATCTCGTAAATTGGACGAATTCTCACTGTCGGATACTGTGCTAATGTCTGCTTTTTCAGATGTGGAAGTTGTGAAGGAGAAAGCTCCCACATCTCTGCTGTCAGAAAGTGCCGAGCCCGTGGGTTCTGCGAATCTGAGTTTGGCGCCGTCGGACAGTCCGACGCTGCCGGTGGGCAGTGAACGTCTCGCCGCTGCGCAGAGGGCTGACCCGACTCTGGCACGTTGCTTCAAAAGTGTGGTGAGTGCCGACAAAGCAAGTGGTGAAACAGTATCTTACCTAATGAATAAAGACATCCTGGTGCGTAAATGGACTCCTGCAGTGTCTGATTGCGAATATAGTGCTTTACAAGTTGTAGTGCCTTTTGTATACCGGCAGCATGTATTGTCAGTTGCCCACGAGAGCAAATGGTCAGGTCATTTGGGGGTGAATAAGACCTACAACCTCATCCTCAAGCATTTCTTCTGGCCTGGGTTAAAATCTGATGTAGCCAAATTCTGTCGCTCTTGTCATGTGTGTCAACTAGCGGGTAAACCAAACCAAACCATCCCACCTGCTCCACTCCATCCTATTCCTACCATAGTTGAGCCCTTTGAGCGTGTAATCTTAGACTGTGTAGGCCCGTACTTGATTTTGTGAGTAAATTCCGCGAGCGTTTACACCGTGCAAACTCGCTCGCTAAAGAGTGTCTTTTGTCCTCCCAGACTGTGATGAAGCGTCGTTATGACCGATCTGCCGTCCCACGCCGATTTGATGTTGGTGACAAAGTGCTGGCCTTGCTGCCGATCCCTGGTTCTTCTCTCTCTGCTAAATTTACCGGTCCCTATGAGGTCCGTGAATGCCTCAGTGACCTCAACTATGTTATTGCTACACCGGAGAGAAGGCGTAAAAGTCGTGTTTGTCACATAAACATGCTCAAACCTTACTTCACATGCGAACCGAACCCAGCTGTCGCTCCACCAGTGGTTCCCCCAAAAGCTAATACTATCGCTGTCAATGCTCTGATTGTCACTGAGTCTCCTACCATTGCTGATGAGGATGATTTACAGACGTGTACCTCATCGCATCAAACCGCGCGACTGCCGAATTCGGAGTCACTGAAAACATTGTCGTCCCAGCTAAGTCATTTGACCCGCGCGCAACAAAGTGACCTAATTGCTTTGATCGATAATTTTAAGTGTCTTTTCGGCGACGTTCCAACTCGCACTACTGTTCTGCAACATGACATAGATGTCAACGGAGCAAAGCCCATCCGACAGCATCCATACAGACTCAACCCCGTGAAGCGCCAGCTCATGAAAAAAGAAACGGATTATTTGTTAAAACACGGTTTGGCTGTGCCAAGCTCCAGCGCTTGGAGCTCTCCATGTTTGTTGGAGAAAAAATCAGACGGTACCCCTCGTTTTATCACAGATCTGCGAAAGGTAAATTCAGTAACTGTCAAAGACTCGTATCCTCTTCCTAGAATGGAAGATTGTGTCGACACGCTTGGCAGCGCTAAGTACGTCAGCAAGCTGGACCTATTGAAAGGGTACTGGCAAGTCCCGTTAACGGAGCGCGCATCTGAGATCTCCGCGTTTGTGACTCCTGACTGTTTCTTGCAGTACACCGTCATGGCGTTTGGCATGTGTAACGCCACGGCCACCTTCCAGCGGCTCGTTAATACCGTCTTGGCCGGGCTGCCAAACTGTAACGCGTACTTGGATGACTTAATTGTTTACACAGTGACGTGGCAGGAGCACCTCCGCATCCTCGAACAGGTGTTCACTCGTCTTGCGCACGCGACCCTAACGCTAAATCTCGCCAAGTGTGATTTCGGTAAGGCCACCGTCACCTATTTAGGACGACAGGTTGGGCAGGGTCAAGTTAAGCCTCTCGACGCCAAGGTAACTGCCATAGCCGAGTTTCCGGTCCCAACCACCCGCAAGGCGCTCCGTCGTTTTCTGGGCATAGCGGGTTACTACCGTAGCTTCTGCCGCAACTTCTCCTCCGTTGTTCAGCCGTTGACTTCTCTAACTAGTCCCAAAGTCGAATTTGATTGGTCCCCTGCCTGTCAGCATGCGTTTGACAGCGCAAAGTCCCTCCTTAGCCACGCCCCTGTCCTTGCAGCTCCTGACTTCTCCCAGCCGTTCAAACTTGAGGTAGATGCCTCTGCAGTAGGTGTCGGGGCTGTCCTGTTGCAGGAGGATAGTGATGGAGTTGACCATCCAGTAGGATATTTTTCCCGCAAATTTAACAAGCATCAGGTGAACTACTCAATCATAGAAAAAGAAACCCTTGCTTTGTTATGGTCACTTCAACACTTTGAAGTATATGTAGGTTCCAGCCCTCTGCCAGTGGTGGTCTTCACTGACCACAACCCACTCGTCTTTCTGCATCGTATGTATAACCACAACCAAAGGCTTATGCGGTGGGCACTGGTCATGCAGGATTACAATGTGGAGATCCAGCACAAAAAGGGGTCTGACAATGTTGTAGCAGATGCGTTGTCCAGAATGTAATGTTGACTTTGTTAACCCTTGTGGTTGTTTTGTTTATGACAAACCTCATTAGGAGGGTTTGCCTCTTAAGGGGAGGGGTGTTACGGCCGCCGCCTTAGTGTGGCGAGTCTTGGGTCTTCCTCTCTCTGTGTGTGTGTGCGTGTGTGAGAGTGCGTGTGTGTGCATGCTGCCTGCAGTTCACAGGTTGCCGTGGCTGCGGATCAATCAAGTGCCTGATCACTGTCCAAAACCTTTGTAGGAACTCTTTTCTGACCTTTTGGAGTTAGTTAGACCAAAAAAAAGATAAATGAAAAAAAAATATTTGGGGTGTTCGGGCTTCCTGAAGGTAATACCCGGGTATTAGGTTTTGGGGCTAGGGTTAGGTTTAAGGTTTTTGGCGTTAGGGTTAAAATAACTGTCCAATATTTTTTAAGGAACATGTTTCAGACCTTTGGGAGTTAGTTAGACAAAAAAATAAGAAAAAGAAAAAAAAAATATTTGGGGTGTTCGGGTTTCCTGAAGGTAATACCCGGGTATTAGGTTATGGGGCTAGGGTAAGGTTTAAGGTTTTTGGCGTTAGAGTTAAAATCAGTGTCCAAAACCTTTTTAGGAACATGTTTAAGACCTTTTGGAGTTGGTTACACCAAAAAAAAAATGTAAAATGCAAAAACAAAATATTTGGGGTTTTTGGGCTTCCTGAAGGTAATACCCCGGTATTAGGTTTTGGGGCTAGGGTTAGGTTTAAGGTATTTGGCGTTAGAGTCAAAATCACTGTCCAAAACCTTTGTAGGAACTCTTTTCCAACCTTTTGGTGTTAGTTAGACCAAAAAAAAACGAAAAATGAAAAAAAAATATTTGGGGTTTTTGGGCTTCCTGAAGGTAATACCCGGGTATTAGGTTATGGGGCTTTGGAAAGGTTTAAGGTTTTTGGCGTGAGGGTTAAAATCACTGTCCAAAACCTTTGTAGGAAGTCTTTTCCAACCTTTTGGAGTTAGTTAGACCAATAAAAAAATGAAAAATGAAAAAAAAAAATTTGGGGTGTTCGGGCTTCCTGAAGGTATTAGGTTTTGGGGCTAGGGTAAGGTTTAAGGTTTTTGGCGTTAGGGTTAAACTCACTATCCAATATTTTTTAAGGAACATGTTTCAGACCTTTTGGAGTTAGTTAGACCAAAAAAAAGAAAAAAGAAAAAAAAATATTTGGGGTTTTCGGGCTTCCTGAAGGTATTAGGTTTTGGGGCTAGGGTAAGGTTTAAGGTTTTTGGCGTTAGGGTTAAAATCACTGTCCAAAACCTTTTAAGGAACAAGATTCAGACCTTTTGGAGTTGGTTACACCAAAAAAAAAATGAAAAATGAAAAAAAAAATATTTGGGGTGTTCGGGCTTCCTGAAGGTAATACCCTTCAGGTTTAAGTATTAGGTTATGGGGCTAGGATTAGGTTTAATGTTTTTGGCGTTAGGGTTAAAATCACTGTCCAATATTTTTAAGGAACATGTTTCAGACCTTTTGGAGCTAGTTTGACCAAAAAAAAAGAAAAATAAAAAATATATATTTGGGGTGTTCGGGCTTCCTGAAGGTAATACCGGGGTATTAGGTTATGGGGCTAGGGTAAGGTTTAAGGTTTTTGGCGTTAGAGTTAAAATCAGTGTCCAAAACCTTTTTAGGAACATGTTTAAGACCTTTTGGAGTTGGTTACACCAAAAAAAAATGTAAAATGAAAAAAAAAAATTTAGGGGTGTTCGGGCTTCCTGAAGGTAATACCCGGGTATTAGGTTTTGGGGCTAGGGTAAGGTTTAAGGTTTTTGGTGTTAGGGTTAAAATCACTGTCCAAAACCTTCGTAGGAACTCTTTTCTGACCTTTTGGAGTTAGTTAGACCAAAAAAAAAGAAAAAAGAAAAAAATATATTTGGGGTGTTCGGGCTTCCTGAAGGTAATACCCGGGTATGAGGTTATGGGGCTAGGGTAAGGTTTAAGGTTTTTGGTGTTAGGGTTAAAATCACTGTCCAAAACCTTTTTAGGAACATGTTTCAGACCTTTTGGAGTTGGTAACACCAAAAATAAATGTAAAATGAAAAAAAAATATTTGGGGTGTTCGGGTTCCCTGAAGGTAATACCCGGGTATTAGGTTTTGGGGCTAGGGTTAGGTTTAAGGTTTTTGGCGTTAGGGTTAAAATCACTGTCCAAAACCTTTTAAGGAACATGTTTCAGACCTTTGGGAGTTAGTTAGACAAAAAAATAAGAAAAAGAAAAAAATATATTTTGGGTGTTCGGGTTTCCTGAAGGTAATACCCGGGTATTAGGTTTTGGGGCTAGGGTTAGGTTTAAGGTTTTTGGCGTTAGGGTTAAAATCACTGTCCAAAACCTTTTTAGGAACATGTTTCAGACCTTTTGGAGTTGGTTACACCAAAAAAAAATGTATAATGAAAAAAAAAAAATTTAGGGGTGTTCGGGCTTCCTGAAGGTAATACCCGGGTATTAGGTTTTGGGGCTAGGGTAAGGTTTAAGGTTTTTGGTGTTAGGGTTAAAATCACTGTCCAAAACCTTTGTAGGAACTCTTTTCTGACCTTTTGGAGTTAGTTAGACCAAAAAAAAAAGAAAAAAGAAAAAAATATATTTGGGGTGTTCGGGCTTCCTGAAGGTAATACCCGGGTATGAGGTTATGGGGCTAGGGTAAGGTTTAAGGTTTTTGGTGTTAGGGTTAAAATCACTGTCCAAAACCTTTTTAGGAACATGTTTCAGACCTTTTGGAGTTGGTAACACCAAAAATAAATGTAAAATGAAAAAAAAATATTTGGGGTGTTCGGGTTCCCTGAAGGTAATACCCGGGTATTAGGTTTTGGGGCTAGGGTAAGGTTTAAGGTTTTTGACGTTAGGGTTAAAATCACTGTCCAAAACCTTTTAAGGAACAAGATTCAGACCTTTTGGAGTTGGTTACACCAAAAAAAATGTAAAATGAAAAAAAATATATTTTGGGTGTTCGGGCTTCCTGAAGGTAATACCCTTCAGGTTTAAGTATTAGGTTATGGGGCTAGGATTAGGTTTAAGGTTTTTGGCGTAAGGGTTAAAATCACTGTCCAATATTTTTTAAGGAACATGTTTCAGACCTTTTGGAGCTAGTTTGACCAAAAAAAAAAAAAGAAAAAGAAAAAATATATATTTGGGGTGTTCGGGCTTCCTGAAGGTAATACTAGGTTTCTGGGCTAGGGTAATGTTTAAGGTTTTTGGCGTTAGGGTTAAAATCAATGTCCAAAACCTTTGTAGGAACTCTTTTCCAACCTTTGAGAGCAAGTTAGACCAAAACAAAAAGAAAAAAATATATATATATTTGGGGTGTTCGGGCTTCCTGAAGGTAATACCCGGGTATTAGGTTATGGGGCTAGGGTAAGGTTTAAGGTTTTTCGGCGTGAGGGTAAAAATCACTGTCCAAAACCTTTGTAGGAACTCTTTTCCAACCTTTGGGAATTAGTTAGACAAAAAAAAGATAAATGAAAAAAAAATATTTGGGGTGTTCGGGCTTCCTGAAGGTAATACCCGGGTATTAGGTTTTGGGGCTAGGGTTAGGTTTAAGGTTTTTGGCGTTAGGGTTAAAATAACTGTCCAATATTTTTTAAGGAACATGTTTCAGACCTTTGGGAGTTAGTTAGACAAAAAAATAAGAAAAAGAAAAAAAAAATATTTGGGGTGTTCGGGTTTCCTGAAGGTAATACCCGGGTATTAGGTTATGGGGCTAGGGTAAGGTTTAAGGTTTTTGGCGTTAGAGTTAAAATCAGTGTCCAAAACCTTTTTAGGAACATGTTTAAGACCTTTTTGAGTTGGTTACACCAAAAAAAAATGTAAAATGCAAAAAAAAAATATTTGGGGTTTTTGGGCTTCCTGAAGGTAATACCCGGGTATTAGGTTTTGGGGCTAGGGTTAGGTTTAAGGTATTTGGCGTTAGGGTTAAAATCACTGTCCAAAACCTTTTTAGGAACATGTTTCAGACCTTTTGGAGTTGGTTACACCAAAAAAAAATGTAAAATGAAAAAAAAATATTTGGGGTGTTCAAGCTTCCTGAAGGTAATACCCGGGTATTAGGTTATGGGGCTAGGGTAAGGTTAAAGGTTTTTGGCGTTAGGGTTAAAATCAGTGTCCAAAAACTTTTTAGGAACATGTTTAAGACCTTTTGGAGTTGGTTACACCAAAAAAAAATGTAAAATGAAAAAAATATATATTTGGGGTGTTCGGGCTTCCTGAAGGTAATACCCGGGTATTAGGTAATGGGGCTAGGGTAAGGTTTAAGGTTTTTGGCGTGAGGGTTAAAATCACTGTCCAAAACCTTTGTAGGAAGTCTTTTCCAACCTTTTGGAGTTAGTTAGACAAAAAAAAAAAGATAAATGAAAAAAAAATATTTGGGGTGTTCGGGCTTCCTGAAGGTAATACCCGGGTATTAGGTAATGGGGCTAGGGTAAGGTTTAAGGTTTTTGGCGTGAGGGTTAAAATCACTGTCCAAAACCTTTGTAGGAAGTCTTTTCCAACCTTTTGGAGTTAGTTAGACAAAAAAAAAAGATAAATGAAAAAAAAATATTTGGGGTGTTCGGGCTTCCTGAAGGTAATACCCGGGTATTAGGTTATGGGGCTAGGGTAAGTTTTAAGGTTTTTGGCGTTAGGGTTAAAATCACTGTCCAAAACCTTTTTAGGAACATGTTTAAGACCTTTTGGAGTTGGTTACACCAAAAAAAAATGTAAAATGAAAAAAAAATATATTTGGGGTGTTCGGGCTTCCTGAAGGTAATACCCGGGTATTAGGTAATGGGGCTAGGGTAAGGTTTAAGGTTTTTGGCGTGAGGGTTAAAATCACTGTCCAAAACCTTTGTAGGACCTCTTTTCCAACCTTTTGGTGTTAGTTAGACCAAAAAAAAACGAAAAATGAAAAAAAAATATTTGGGGTTTTTGGGCTTCCTGAAGGTAATACCCGGGTATTAGGTTATGGGGCTTTGGAAAGGTTTAAGGTTTTTGGCGTGAGGGTTAAAATCACTGTCCAAAACCTTTGTAGGAAGTCTTTTCCAACCTTTTGGAGTTAGTTAGACCAATAAAAAAATTAAAAAATTAAAAAAAAAATTTGGGGTGTTCGGGCTTCCTGAAGGTATTAGGTTTTGGGGCTAGGGTAAGGTTTAAGGTTTTTGGCGTTAGGGTTAAAATCACTGTCCAAAACCTTTTTAGGAACATGTTTAAGACCTTTTGGAGTTGGTTACACCAAAAAAAATGTAAAATGAAAAAAATATATATTTGGGGTGTTCGGGCTTCCTGAAGGTAATACCCGGGTATTAGGTAATGGGGCTAGGGTAAGGTTTAAGGTTTTTGGCGTGAGGGTTAAAATCACTGTCCAAAACCTTTGTAGGAAGTCTTTTCCAACCTTTTGGAGTTAGTTAGACCAAAAAAAAAAGATAAATGAAAAAAAAATATTTGGGGTGTTCGGGCTTCCTGAAGGTAATACCCGGGTATTAGGTTATGGGGCTTTGGAAAGGTTTAAGGTTTTTGGCGTGAGGGTTAAAATCACTGTCCAAAACCTTTGTAGGAAGTCTTTTCCAACCTTTTGGAGTTAGTTAGACCAATAAAAAAATGAAAAATGAAAAAAAAAAATTTGGGGTGTTCGGGCTTCCTGAAGGTATTAGGTTTTGGGGCTAGGGTAAGGTTTAAGGTTTTTGGCGTTAGGGTTAAAATCACTGTCCAAAACCTTTTTAGGAACATGTTTAAGACCTTTTGGAGTTGGTTACACCAAAAAAAAATGTAAAATGAAAAAAATATATATTTGGGGTGTTCGGGCTTCCTGAAGGTAATACCCGGGTATTAGGTAATGGGGCTAGGGTAAGG